CAATTTAAATCCATTGGATGTGATAGACTAATTCTAACAGAGCTAGAAACTCCTGATTGATTGTGATGGTTCTTCAGATGAGAAGCTTAGCAGCCAGTCTTTAAATGCAAATAAAGTTGCAGAATCAACAAAGGTCACGGGATTTTGTTTTCAGCTAGTAGAGGAGATTCAGACATTCAGACATGAATTTGTTTGTTTCCAGGCATAATCACTTTTCACTGGTGTTTGCTATTGTGTCTTTTTGCTTACAAAAGTTGTAAGCATGCTTTCCATACTTCAGCCAGGACACTTTCAAACTTACTTGTGTGTTCTAGGATGTAATGTGTACAGTCAGAGTTAGCTTTGTAAAGGTATAAGACGTTTTAAATAGGCAGGAAATGCCTTTCTAGTGTTGCACTTTCTGTTGTAGTTAAGAGAAAATATTATAAAATTATCTGCTGATTTTTTTTGTACTTGTTAATGTCCATGCACAACCAACCTTGTCTTCAAAAATAGAAATATATTTTTTCTACAGTGTGGCAATATTCAAGGTGGAAAGAGTTTGTGAGGTACTGTAAGCTAGAACTCAGCTTGTGAAAGATGGAAACTTGTTAAAATTTACAGACATATCCCTTCACATGTAGAACATTACATGGTCAGTTATTTTGTCAAACTTTAGCCTTGAGGTCTTTAATTGCTTGTAAAGTTAGCACCTGTGTTTTCTGAAAACTTCTACTTTCTGTTCTTGATTAACTATTCTGGTCTTGTAACTTCATTTACAGAAACAAGTTGATTCCTGAGAAATGAGAGCAGACAAATAAAAAATTGACTGTATAGAAAATGTTGACTGTATAGCTTTTTACAATGGTTAATTATCGACAACAACAGGCTCAGTGTGAAAGCCTGTCTGTAGCCTTCCTCTTATGGGCAACGTGACCTGATTTTGCTGTGATTCACTAACACAGCAACAACAACTAACAATGTCCCTCATGCCTAACCTATTTTTTGTGGCTCTTACTTTATGCTGGTTCCCACAGTGTTGGCAGGTTGGGGGTGTTGGTGATTTATTTTAGGGTGTCTAAGTGAATGCTGGCTAGAACACAGTCTTCAATTCACTGTCATTTTTTTGTTGATTAGACAGAATTCCCTCAAAGGTTTAAAAAAATGTAATGAACTGTGGTGATTCTGGGTGATGCAGTGATGTATTCCCTTACCTAACCCTGCCTCAGTGTCCGTTCCCAGCTTCTTTCTGAGCAGCTGATTGTGTGAGAGCAGCTGATGGAGCCTTTCAGGCAGAATGTGCAGACCCCAGCCCAGCAGCACTCCAGCAGTGTGGCTGTCAGGAGCTTTCAGGTCTTTGAGGATGTTTGTTTCAAGCAGGTTTCTATCAGCCTGCAGGAACTGAACTCTTAAATCACCTGTACCTCTTCACACTGAACTCTTCAATGGGACAGCCCAGGAATTTGGGTGCCAGCAGCCACTGCCCTCTGTGTAGGTGTCATTGCAGAGGCCTTGCTGTGAGAAGGGACAGGGTGGTGTTTGGGGACACTGCTCACTTGGCAGGGACAGGGGTTGCCTCTGTCAGTGAAGCTGCAGCAGCAATTCAGCCGCATTTCTGCTGGCACAGGCACAGCCCAGCACGGCCCCACTCTGCTGGCAGTGCCAGAGCTCAGATGTGATGGGTGCAACCCTGTTCAGCAATCACTGCCACTGCTGGCTTTGCTTCAGGGATTACTGCCCATCTTCTTAGCACTGTGGTACTTGGGATTTCCAGAAGAGACTTCAGCAATTCCCACTTTTCTAACTGAATAGCTTATGGAAATGTTTGCAAGTCAGTTAAAATGTTGTCCTTTACCATTACATGGTTGCAGAGGGAGCAGCTCCGTGCACACGTGGCTCTTTGCCTGCTCTAGTGTGGACAGTACCACCTCTGTTAGGCTGATGACTTGATTTCACAAAACTTTCTCTTCAAAACTCCATTGCTTACAGCCTTGGGCTTCAGTTAAGCAAACAACTTGTGCTTTCATTGTGTGTTTTGTCTTTTGTTAGCTGTTTAGTGACATTTCAGCTGAGTGATCTGTGCAGTGCAGCCAGTGATTCAGCAATGTGCTTTTGGGTCACAGAGAGCTCTGTGCCTGTGGCACTCTGGCACTTGGCACTGCTGGATCCAGAGCGAGCCAGAGCCTGAGGAATTTGGTGAGTGTTGTAAATTTGTCAAAAGATCTTCCCCAGTAAAATCAGATACTAGCAAGTAATTGAACTGTTTCTCAAGATTTCTAATCTAAATGGACTCTTTAAGCTATCTTGGCATTTGACTTTGCAAAATGTCATTTCCTATTCATTTTTTGTTAAATGTTTGACTTACTGCCATCTCCATTTTCAGAGGCTGCAATTTGGGTTTGATCTCTGCTCAAAACCACTGTTTAAATGAAAGGCCTTAAATTATTGAAATTGCAGGAGGAAAGCATTTTATATTCTCTTTAGGCATGTGTTCAACTGAACCTGTATCAGGTTTAGAATGGAATCATCTGGACACAAATGAGATGACCCTCTTAATTGTCTGCAGTTCACTGCTGGCAGAAATAGCCAAGGTACCTTTGGGGGAAACTGGTGGGGGGGTTTAGGTGCTAGAAAAACAAAAACCTTCCATCATACTGAATATTTTCATATTTGTTGCTTCTTCAGCTTTTCTGATCTTTGTCAATTATTTTTTAAACTATTTTTTTAAGCTTCAGAAGAGCTTGCTTTTGTTTATTATGTTACTGCCATGAACTCATTTTTCTGAACTCTAAGCAGTCTTTGATGTGGGGCAACTGCTCTAAAATCCAACTGCCTGGTTGGCTGCAGCTGAGCTTGGTAATCCCAAAACAGGAAACAGATGGTGGTAGATGCCAGGTTGTAGAATGATAGAATTTTTTAGCTTGGAAAATACCTCCAAGAATGAGTCCAACCATTTCCCCAGCACTGCCAATGCCACCAATGTCCCCAAGTGGCTTTAGGGGTAGTTACTCCACCACTGCCCTGGGCAGCCAGATCCAACACCTGGCAACTTTTCTAAGTGAAGAATTTTTTTTCTGCTATACAATCTAAACCTCCTCTGGTGCAACTTGAGGGTGTTTCCTCTTGTCCTATTGCCTTTTAATTGGGAGGAGAAAAGCCTGCCCCCCAACCCAGCTCCAACCTCTTTACAGGGAGTGAGAAGGTCCCCTCTGAGCCTCCTTTTCTCCAGACTGAACCTCCTGGCTCCCTCAGCTGCTTCTCATTACACTTGTGCTCCAGAACATTTTAAACTCTTCATTGTAGATTGTTTTGCAGGGTATGCACAGCTGGCCTGCTTCACCTGGCTCTTACACAGGGCTCTTAGCCCATCACCTAATAAGCTTTATGAAGGCTCAAAATAGTCCTGTATCAAGTCTGATTAGGAACTGAAAACTTCCTCTTTAAAGAACAAGAGATCCAGAATTTAAGATCCTCTTAGTCTGACATTTTCCCACATTGCTGCAGCTGCCCAGACATGCAGACTGTTTGCTACTTGGTCTTGGATGTTTTCACCCAAAATCCTTGAAGTAGGAGAGTTTTCTTAGCACCACCTTCAGTAGTGATGTATTCCTGTGAGAAGCTTCTGTTTTGGACAAGTTGGTGCTGCTGTAGTGAAGAAGGAGCTCCTACAGGACTGTGTTTCATTGTGGCTGGTCTGTGAGGACAGCACTGGAGATGCCCTGCTCATGAAGAATCTATTAACTCATGTGGGTTCATGTGTAGGGATGGAGAGGGAAGTTGGAGCTGTAGCTGTTCCTCTGTCAGGCATTATGTGGTGCTTTGAATCAATTCAAGGCAATGTCTCAGAGCCAACTTAGAGACAATCTGGCTGCCAGCCTCTCTTCCACAGCCCTGGTGAGACTGTCTTGCTTAGGGTGGCAACAATTTGGAAGCACCTGGGTCCTGTGGACCCTCTTGCAAGAACAGCACAGGCTCCTCAAAAACTTCATGGTGGTGCTTTTTCTCCCCACAACCCCCCTGCTGATGAATTTTCATCCTTGAAGCTGTAAAACTTCTCTGTGGGAGCTGTGCCAAGGCCTGCAGCCAGTTTAGGAGGCTCCAATGTATTTGTAAGTTCGTGTTTGCTGCAGGCTGAGCTGCTAAGTCTTCCTGCAGGCCTGGAAATTCAAGCATGCAGGTCAAAAAGGACCCTGGGGAATTTCCTGTGCCTGTGCTCAGTGCCCAAGCAAGAAAGCTGTTCCAGATGGTTGCATCCTGCACAACTCCCCTGAGATCTCATCAGCTGGCAGGAGCCTGGGCTGGTGCTGCCACAAGGGCAGTGTGACAGCTCTGCCATGGGAAGGAGGTGTGAAGAAATGAGACTTTAATGCAGAGGAGCAGATTCTCTTTCCCTTACACTTTAATTTTGAAGGGTTTTTCTGTGACCACAAAGGGAGGAAACGCAGTCAGCATGAGCTGGACATGTGTACTCACCCTCCAACCTGTCTCTCTCTCTCTGTTTACTCTGATTTGTCTAAAGCCCTGTTGCAAAACCATGTGTGAGATGAGAAGAATGAGTTTTGTTGTTGGCTTTCACTGGGGCTGGAGCAGAGGCTCAGCACTGCCGCTCCCCTCCTGGCTGTGCCCTGCTCTCCTCGCTCTCCTGCCTCTGCTGGCTTTGTATCCTGGTAACATCACTTGTGCTCAGGTGCAGAGAACTCCCTGCAGCTCTGGACACATGAACAAAACTCATCCTCAGGTACAGTCCTTCAGAAAAATCCTACATACAGCTGTTCCCTGAAGTACGTGTGTTCATGACAGCGCTGTTTGCCTGACCTCCTTAACTTCTTTCTCTGAGATTTTGAGGTTTTTCTACTTAGCTTGATACAAAGGGAAGAGTTGATACAAAGCACTGGACTTGGTTAGTGTTTGTTTTACAAATGGGTAATTAAGGTTTAAAGGTGATTGTTTTGGGAATCAAAGCTGGGCCGTGTTTTCACCAAGGTAATTTTTGCTTGTATGTAACAATAATGGAGTACACGATGTATTCCTGGGAAAGATGTGAGAACCAGAAAAGCAAAGTTTGTGTGGCTGTGGGATTCTGTAAATCCCTTTTGTCCCTTTCCTTCTAGAGAAATGGTGATGTGGCTGCTTTTGGTTCAACAGAGTCCTCTGGAGAAAGAGGTAATGAATAAAATGCAGAGTTCTATTATTAAAGTATAAATCAATTGAAACTCTCAATGTAATATAAAATATAACCACTATTTATGGTCTGTTTGGATGGATTTTCCCTCTTTTCTGTGTAGTGAAATGTCCAGACTATAAAATTAATAAACTGCAGCTGTTCTGTGTTGGCCTGGAGCTAGCAGTCACAGTGGTATGATAGGTGATCCTTGCCTGTCACAGAAAGGCTCATAATGAGCTTTTTGTGGCCTTTCCATATGTCTTTATAGCCAAACTTCAGCAAATTTTGCCCATACTCTGAAGGACAAGGTGAGATCAAACAGAAGAAAATAGCAATCCTGTAGATCAGCTTGCAACATTTCATCACCACCATTATTTTCTACTCAAGTCTGTTGGTAATTGTTGTGCTTTGTAGTCAGAGGTGTTTTGTAGACACAGACATGCTGTAATTCACCATTTCTCCTCTGAGCTGAAAACTTCTGTTTGGCTCCTGCTCGAGCGTGACAGAGGAGGAGGTTGCTGGAACCAGGATCCTTTTCCTGTTGAGCAAAGGCTGTGCCTTCTCTTGAGCTAGAACACTAAAACAATTAAGTAAACACAAAGCACAGCTAAGACAGATTCTAACTTAAAAGTTCTTTAAGTTCCTGAAAGCTTTTTTAAAATTCTAATTAAAGATTTTTAAGTTCAGATATACCAAAATCAATTATACAGGCAGGATTGTCTTTAGTGACTGGCTACTGAGATGATCACACTAGTATTTTTTGCTATTGGTCTGGGAATATGAAGGAATGTTGGAAAACACCCTGTTGGTTTAGAGGCAAAGCTCCAGGTGCAGGTTGCTGGGGTGAGGGCGGGTGCCTGGCATCGCTCCTTGGTGCTCCACCATTGTTACAGTGCCTGTGGGTTTGGCCTTTAGCTTCTGCAGTTGGTTTGGTTTATGTACCTGACTTTCTGAAAGCTGGGCTCCCTGGAAGGCTGCTGTGCCCTGGAAATGTCACTGGGGAGGGAAAGGGCAGCTCTTCAATTCCTCCTCGCCATTCTGTGCTGATAATCCATCCTCATTCCATGGGACTGTGAGTCCTGGTTGGGGCAGAGAGCCTGAAGTGCTGTAAAATGAAGTCTTGCCTCTTGGGGGGTTTTGTTATGTGCTCTGGGAGGGCACCTTCCCCAGCCTGACACCAAACTGCCCCGTGTTTCAGTGTCACTGCTGTCCCACAGGGCTGGGCAGGGGCTTGGCCTTCATCCTTCTGCATCCGAGTCCATGGGATGGGCTCTGATGGAGACGTGGTGTTTGTGCCATTCAACCCCAGTGCTCTGTAACAGCAGCACAGGTTCTTGCACACTGCAAGCAGCAAAATTCCCCATGAGGAGGTGTTTAATGTTGGACTTTGGCTCTTTAAACTCATCAATCCCAAACCCCCAGCAGCCCCTGCCAGTCTCGCACGCAGAGACCCCAAAACGTCAGCCTCGTGTCCCTGCACTGTTCCCCTCTGAAACACCCCAGGCCCTTCCTCAGTCCCTCAGCTCTCTCTCTTGCCTCCCCCAGGCCGCTGCCATCCGTGTGGTGCCCGCCCTGGCTGCACACAGAGACACCTCTGCATCTCTGCCGTGCTGCTGCTCGTCCTCGCGGCCGCCCTGGCCTTGGGGGTGGCACTGGCACTCCTGCCACGGGCACCAGGTTGTATCCCAAGAGTGGTTATTTTTTTGGTAAGGAAGGTCAGAAATGGTGCTGCGTGAGCAGAGCCCTCGTGTCCATCACTGTGTGTTTCATGGTGCTCTCCAGCACAGAGCAGGAGGAAGGGAAGGGACGAGCAGGGTGGTGGGGGCTGTACCAGCTTTGCTCAGCCCAAATGGCCACCAGCCACTCCCTGGCTCTGCTGTGCTGCTCCATGGGGCTGGGATAACTCTGGGTAGCACTGCCATGCTTTAGACTTCTGGTGTGGTTTTCAGACTCTGCCATGAACCTCTCAGAAATTAATCCTGGCCCCATGGTATTTCCAGAACAAAAAATTAATTTTGGAAACCCCCCTCTACTCCCCTTGATCTATTCCTTGTATCACAAAAATTCTGGAAAATAAATATTTTCTTGCTTTCCCCACAGTGAGCCGCTTCTGCACAGCCCCCAATAACAAGACAGGCTTCTTGTGTGATGACAGAGTGACCTGTGTCCCAGCCAGCTGGGTCTGTGACAGGGTCAGCAACTGCAGGAACGGAGAGGATGAGCAGGAGCAGCTCTGTGGTGAGTGGTTTTGTTGTGAGCATTCCCCCTGCACTGGGTCTTCCAGCTGTGAGACAGCAGCTGTGGTTCCTCTAACCCTGCTCCGTGCTTCTGGCTGCCTGTGTGAGCAGATAAGCCTGGTAGAGCCTTTACAGGGCAGATGCTGAGAGATGGCACTGCCCAAAACCTAGCAGGAATGCCAGGAATTAAAGACTCCAAGCTCTTCTGATCTTCCTAGGGAATTTTTAAAAACCACGATGTTGGTTTTTAAAAATTTAACACCATCAGTGAAGTTGTATGCCTATATGGGTAATTTATTGTTCAGTCACCCTGGGGAAAAAATGAAATAAAGCAGAAACTGGGGGCAGACTTCCTGTGTTTGATGACAGAGCTTCCCATTTGTTCCCATTCATTTGATGCTGCAGGGGAAGTGTCCTGGAGCAGCCTTTGGTGCTTGCCATCCCTGGTGTGCCTGGGGGAGCTAAGCACGTCCTGTGTGTGTGCCCTTGCAGGTGACTTGCCCCACAGCCTCCCAGGGTACCTGGTTTTCTACTGCAGTAACCCCAGATCCTGGGTTTATGCTGACCAGAGGTGCAACGGGATGAACGACTGCGGGGACTGCTCTGATGAGACGTGGAGCTGTAAGTCTGTCTGCTGGCTCCTGTCTTTTCTGCTGAGGGGTTGCAACAGCTTGTGCAGGTGTGGTGCTCGTGGATGCTGCTGGCAATGCCTGGAGGCTGGCATCCACCACTAAAACACGGGCTAGCTGGGATGGGGCGTGAGTGTGAACTGTCCCCCTCGCTGCTGAGGCTTCTGTGACAGAGCCTGGTGGCACCTGAGAGGGGAAAGGCTCCGTGGTTTGCTCCCTGTCCCAGAAATTGCTCTTCCTCCATGGCTTGCTGATGTGGAGCAGTTTCATCGGGATGTGTGGCTGTAGTTTGTAGCAACCATTCAAACTGGCTTTTGGTCAGCAGATGGGTGGATCTCCAAGCTGGGCAGGAGCTGAGTCTTGCTAGAATGAGCAGCAGATTTGTTCCTAAGTCACCTCCCCATGGTTTTGGAAAAAAAAAAGGGGGGGAAGGAAGAAAAAGAATTACAATTAATTGTTCCCCCCAGGATGGCCTGAAGGTCATGGCCCCCCCATGAAGGTCATTGCAATGTCACACTCTGGTTTCTCCCACAGGTAGCACCAAGCCAGTGTCTGCTTTGGTGGGCTCACAGTCACAGGGCTGTCACCAGCTGCTTTTCTGCTGGGGATGAAAGGATTTTATCCATGGGAGGAGGGAGGGAGGGAGGGGGTCAGTGCAGCAGCAGCAGCATT